CCATCAGTTGTGTGCTCTCTAGAAGAACGTGAGTCACACTCCCTCAGACAGCTTCGTCAGAGTTTTCCCTGAAGTTGAACTATTTGCCACACCAATGCAATATTTCAGTACCTCCCACATGAAAAAGAATTCATTTAATTATCTGTTGAGTGATCGCATCAGTTTTTTACTGAAGAGGATTAGGCCAACTAAAAAAAAAAGAAAAAAAGAATAATAACTGATTTTTAAATATTATTTCAGTTTAATATGGGAAAAAAGGTGGCTGTTCAGTGGAACAGTGAGTAGCACTGCTGCCTTGCAGCAAGAAGGTTTCAGGTTCAATTCCCAGCCCAGGGTCTTTCTCCATGGAGTTTGCATGTTCTCCCTGAGCATGCATGGAGTGGAATCCAGGTACTCTAGATTCCAGGAATACTCTGGAATCCAGGTACTCTGGAAAGCTAACAAATCCAGGTACTCTGGATTCCTCCTACAGTCCAAAAATATGACTGTTAGGTTAATTGGCTTCTCTAAATTCTCCTTAAGTGTGAGTGTCTGTGTGAATGGTTGTTTGTTTCTGTGTTGCCCTGCGATGGGACTGGTGACCTGTCCAGGGTGTATCCTGCCTGTAGACAGCTGGAGATAGGCACCAGCACCCCTTGTGACCCCACTTGGGATTAAGAGTGTAAGAAAATGGATGGATGGGAAAAAAGTCAGAATTCTGACAGCTAACAAACATGTTAGCACCAAGCTGTAGCCATGTCTGTTTTAGAGACCAACTCTCTTGTTTTAATCAACTTCTGCTCTTCCATTTATGAAATAGCATCATCGGGGACCCCTCGGGCTCGTAAAAAGTGCGTAAAACTGGCCCTCCCAAACAACTCACATCTTTGTCAGTGAAGCTGAGTGCTCCCACATCTCTTCCTTCATGGTGTCCATCTACATTAAGATCCACAATTCTGAGATTAAAGTCTGAATTCTGAGGAAAAAAAGTCAGAATTCTGAGATTAAAGTCAGAATTCTGAGAAAGAAAGTCAGAATTCTCTTTTTTCTCATATTATACTGAAATAAAAAATTTTGTTTTTTGTTTTTTTCAGTGGCCCTATTCCTTTTCCATAGATTTTTTAACCAATGTTGCCTTGAACATTTTCTATAACCTCACAACGGCTTATTAAAGCGCAGACCTGTAAAACTTTATATCGCTTTAAATATCTTAGACAGAAATAATTAAATGTTTAGGGTCTTTGTCTTATTTATTTTTTCTTTGTTAAACTAATATGAAGAAATGGACGTGTCTGTGTTTTTTTTCACGCAGGTAATGGCAGGACAGTCAGTGAGGCAGGAAGCAGCGTGGGCAGCCTCCTTGTGTCACCGCCTGCGTCAGACCAGACGCCAGGAGGGAGTTTTCCACTGACGAAAAAGGCTGCGCTTCTCGGCAGTCTGCTTCAGACAAGGGAAGCGCTTCTGTTGGTGCGGAGCCCCGCAGACAATAGCACCGAGGGCTGACCATACATACACACAATATATACACATATACGCTCGGATACGCGCTCTCTTTTTCATTTTTTTTATTCACATATTTTATCCCTTGTCTCATTCGGATTACCCTCGCATCGATTGATTATCAAGCCATCATTTGATTCCTAAATGCTGATCGGATACTTGAATTGGTGAGTATCGCTACTGAGCCACCGTAGCCTCATTTATCTGAATCTGTTGGAATGTCTTTTTTAAATATATATTATACATTGATTTTTAATGCAAAGGTTTCGTTTGATTACGGTACCAGAGTGACTGGTTGATTTAATGTCTTTGCTGCATTTCTTAAAGAACGAGTGTCGCTCAAGTTGGCGATTTATTTCGGTGACGCGCAACGACGCTTAATTAGATAAAGAGAGTTTTTATCTAAAGACATTTTTGATTGCACAGAGATTAACAAAGATTAGCGATTAAGATTTTTTTTTTCTTTTTTTCGTGAAACAAGTTGATTGAGAAGCGGTTTCTGCCAATGGGCTTCATTCATTTGTTGCCTTTATGCGCTTATCCAGGTTAAACTAAACTCCCCATCTCTGATTTGAGTGTTAAACTCAATCATTTAGTCTATTTTGTGGTTTTTGGTCCATTTTTATGAACTGATCAGGTCGGCTTTTGTGTGTTGCGCCTCTATGTATATATGTGTGTGTTGAGTGGTGCTGGTGCGCCTCTTGCAACTAGAGCGACTCCTGAAGGCACTACATGTGAGCGCCCAGCTGACAGGGCGGCTGTCATTAGAATTAGCATTAATCATGAGGAATGATCGGGTCAGGGAGGGGGGAGAGACGGCATGAGACCTGCTTTGCGCATGTGCAGACTAGTTTGATAACTGGTTTTTGATTGATTTAATTATACCATTTTCTTAAGTGAAAGGTCTGTTGCAGGTGGAATCAGAACAGGCGCGCGTTTGTTTGGCATTTATTTACGCATATAGTTATTTCTGAATGTTTAATTTTCAGTTGTTCAGTCAACATATATTGAGTTTTTTTTTTTTTATATATATATATTTTCTATGTTCATTTTCTTTGTTGTTCTCCAGAATGGCCCGTGAGTCACATGTTTATCAGAGATAGTTTAAACCGTCTCTAGCGCGACCTCATCCGGATCATTTCTGGAATTATGTTTTCTTGAGTTGCTCTGAATGATCCTTTGTTTTCAGAGAGGGTTTATAACTCTTGGTGTTCGGCACTGATTGTAACCTCCTTTTCCCCATTTATACTCAGACATACAGAGTAACACGTTGTCTTATCTTGTGAAATAAGCCAGCTCAAATTTGGTCCCTTTTCAGATATATAACATGGATGCACCAAAGCCTTTGTGTCCTTTAGGGAATGATCAAGCCAGCATGTGTTTTTGAAACCCATATGGATTTTACTCACACTGGAAGAGTGTTCAGTGGTGCCAGGCTCACAGTGATCCAATCAGGTCTATTTATTACAGCTGCATCAGTTGGGAACCTCTTGATACACAACGCTATATATTAGGCTCCACATTGCCACCATTGTGTTGTTTGTAAATTTTGGTTTAATTCTAACCACAAGTGGAGCCTCAGAATTGAACAAAAAAGGGGACCCCAGTAATTTTGGAAAGGTGACAAGATTCATTAAACATCTTTAATTATTTGGGCTGTCGAACCTTAATTAACTTTTTGATTATCAGCTAATATGTTTTAGTGCCTAGAAAAAAAATAAAAGCTTCAAAAATTTACCATCCATAATAAGAAAAAATACTTTTACTGTTTGAACTTTTAAAATAGAAACTATAAAATGTCTTGCATGTATAGTGTTTGTTTTCTGAATAACCGTTAAGCAAAATATAATTTGACACATTTAGTCTTCCAACATCTGCTTTCATTATGTGAAATGAAATTCCCATGTTAGTATAGCTCTGTCTGCTTTAAAATTAAACAACTATTTTAGTAGTAGTGTAACATTAGCCAGTCAAACATTTTGACACTCCTTTGTAATTTGGGGGCACTTCCTAATTTGTTTTCTTGGCATTCTCTCCATGAGTTTTACAAGGTAGTAACCTGAAATAGTTTTCCAACAGGTTCCCAGAGGTAGTAATGAAATTGAAGACAAGTTCTTAATGAGAAGCTGTTTCCAGACTTGTAATTGCTACTTAATATTAGATGGGGTCTCTCACTTTGAGAGGTATTAGTTGGTATTATTTTAAACTTTTATATTAGTCTTTTGTGGCTGGAACCCTGGTTTATACAGATTAAGAATTTTAACTCAGTCTAGTTATACAAGTATATTTAGACACAGTCTATTATTTTAAAGCATATTTGTTCTTTTCTCTTTTTTTGAACATTTTATAAGAAAAATCTTCTCATAAAATATTTGCATATTTTATTTGCATATTCAGATAGTGTTAAGTGGGGTCTGTAAATATAGTGCTTCCCCAATGGAAGAATGGTGGAATCCCAATTTTTTTCACCAAAACAAGAATCGTCCACCTTATATCTGCCTCATTGTCCATCTTATTTTGTATTCAGTTAACCTTGCGGTTCCTGCAGCTGTCAGGCACATCACTGATGATCTGGATCGCCACTTCCTGTGAACCGCTGTGTTTCACAACCTCAGGAAGCTCTTGCACACTGTTGGTACCGCTGCATCCCAACTGGGAGTGAGAAGCTGCAGAAGAAAGCTGAGTGAAGGCTAGGCTTGGCCCAACACTTTAATGCCGGCTGTACAGAAAGGAAAAGAAGGGAAGAGGAAAGGATGGGGGTAGGAGAAAGGGAGCTGACACAGTCTTGAACACAGCAGCAGTGGAGAGAGAGAGAGATCCCATCTGGCTTTGTCCTCTCCCAGCATTCCATACGGCAAGTGTCCCAGACTGGAGCACGACCCCTGATCCCACAACCTCCTCCTCCCTTCCTCCCAATACACATAAACACCCAGGCAAGAGAGATTTTCTCAAGTTTGTTTGTTCTCTAACTATCCCGCCTAAATTCTAAAGCTACTACTCAGGCTATGTGACTAAATTTGTTTCTCTTTTTTTCTTCTTTATTTGCATGTTTTATTTACATTTTTCCTTCAAAGGGGTTTTACATACATTTTTTTTTGTTATGGCTGCAGTTCAAGGGTTTTGAATTAGGAAACGATGGAACTATTTACTAGTTTTGCCGGTGGTGAATCACACAGGAACCCAATCAAATGGAAAAAAATCAATAAAAAATTTGTTTTAGTTAATGTTCCTAAGAGAGACATTTGATGGCTGTTTATATTAGACACAGGGACTACCAATTATAATAGCCTGTTTGTGAACTTGGGTCTGTTTACATTCAGCTGGCTTATGTGCTCATTGATGCGCATTTCCCTTCATAAATTGATAAAGTTGACAGTTTTAATCCATTAGCATCTGACTTACAGTGTCAAAAGTTACTTTAATGTTTTTTTATCACCAGTTTATCAGCATAGGTATTGTGCCTTGTATGTTTTGTGACATGGTTCTTTATTTTTCTGTGCATCATCTAGCTGTTTTTTTTAAATCACCCCAAATTAGAGAGTATGTGTGAGGTCCAATGCAAGCTAACAACCTGACAGGTGTGGCTTTTGAAAAACAAAAAGCTCATGTTCCTCAGTGAGCAGGACTTTCCATCGCTTAGCAGCAGAAGGCACATCTGGGTTAGATAGAGCCTGTGTTCTTCTCCCACTGTTACAGCTGGAGTAGCCCTGCCAGAGTGGAATTCCTGCGGATTGGAGACATGACATTATTTATTTGTTTTGTACAATCCGTCCCCCTTCTTCCCACCACCTCTTCTTTTTGGAATTGCTCTGCGCACTGGGCGAAGCTGAGGAACAGAATGTTTCCGTGGCATAGTCACACAGTGAGCCCTCAGTGAGAACAACAGGCTCATAGAGGAGGAAGGTGGAAAAAAAAAAAAAAAAACAGCAGATGTGCTTTGCTCCAGCAGGTGGAGCTCTTCTGACTGACAGCTGGGGTTTTAAATGATAAGCCAGCATTTACCCAGCTGGGCAGGAGTGAGAGCCAGGGCCATCTTCATCTCCAGAGCACTGATTAGTTAGCTATGAGGTGCTACAACCTGTGAAGCCTTACATGAAGATGAGGCTGACCTGCCCAGACAAAACTCCAGCACACACAGGAAGGACTCCCGGGCTCATCATTATCACATTTTATGAGCACTCAGTCAGTCATTCAGACGCTGCAAGGTTGTCAGTGTGCCATCTAAATGCGCTCAGCAGGCCAAGATTAGCACAACTTGTCGCTCCCACCCACGTTGTTATCAGCTGCAAAGGGGGCTGGACAGGCAGTGCAAAGGGAAAAGTCAACTGTGACTTGTCCTGTTGGGCTAATGGAGAAGTTTAAACTGGCTGCTGCCTGTAGAGTTGCTGTGAAGTCTGGAAAATTTTGGAATTTGATTCAGGGGTTTTCCTGGTCTAAATAGGTAGGCGAAAAAAAAACCTTTTTACTGAGAATCTTAGTTTGAGTCTATTAAATGTCTTATATTTAGAAAATGTACTCTTAAAGTTTTGTCACCCGCACATCCTTTGATTTATTGTTGTTTTTTTATATGCATCTCTTAAGACTTGTCAAACTACATTAAAGTTTATTATTTATTTCATTATTTGCAATAGTTCGCTTAATTAAGAGTATAGATTTGATAAGAGATCTTTTGTGGGCTCACCATTGCAGCATCTTGTTGACATACCGATATCATCCTCCGAAATAATTTACAAATCTTCTTTAAGGACTATAACTTCTGTTTCCAGATAAGGTAAAAGGATTTTGAAGTCATAAGAACAGCCCACAGCTGTGTGTATTGGTATAATCTCATCTCACTGACACAGTTCTGCATCTGACTGGAGCTGTGTAGTACTTCTAGTGACAAATCTCGCCAAAGATTTATCTCGCCAACTCTCTGACAACTTGGTTGGGGAGCACCTCGGTGGATGTGGCCTTTATCTGTCTGCCTGTGCGCTGCTTGATGGAATGACAGCAATGCATAATTTAGTGCTCGCTGAAAACATGCTGCGTTCCTTCTCTCCATCTCAGCTGTCCGATCACATCCATTCTCCATTTAGAGAGGCAGGCATTGAAAGGGACTTTATCTTTGTTCTTTTTCATCCTCACCCTCCACCTTTTTGCAACAGTATTATTACAAGATGTCTATTTTTATAAAAAATATCTTTTACCCTTTTCTCTTGCTTTGCTCTGTGCAGTGGCTGAGAATCTCCAGATTGACTACAAACCGGCCCTTTGCCGGGATTAACCTCTTGCCATTGTTTCTGCCCGTTGAACAGGATTAACAAATCAATGTGTCAGGTAGACTGCAGTCAGGAGACAATGACCCAGTTCTGACACCACTGCCCCTACCCCCCTTTTCTACCCCCCCCCCCCCCCCCCCCCCCCCCTGTTTTCTGTCTCACTGCAGCTTTTAATTAAAAAGACTTTGCTTAGCTGGCGCTATGGCGCTATGCATCACAGCTTTGTTTTCCTTTTTTTTTTTTTTCCTTTTCCTTTTTGTGGAGAATTGGGTGGGGGTTGGAAATTATGGTAAATGCAAGGTGAGCTTATGTGTGTGGTATTTTGAGCACATGTTGTCAGATAAAGTGAACGCTTCAGCAACTGATGCTGAATATCCCCCCCCCCCTATTGCAAGGTGATTCATTCATCATGTTTGATCTTTTGGACAACCACAGAAAAAAACAAAGGCTAGCAGAAAGGTTTGTGCCTTTCACCCTTGACTCTAGCAACTTCATCTTTGTCAAAAGACAACTAGTTTGGCATAATTCTTCTACGCATCATGCAGCTCTCCTCCTTTACCTGCTTAGTATTTTTTTCTTACTCTTTCTTTTCTTGGAGTGTTGACTCTCGCTTAACATTCAAACAAGCTGGGACAGGCACATGTGGTAGAGGTTCCTGTAAACCGACTGTCTCTCTCTTAATTTGCCACCTTCAAAAAGCGGTGCCAATGGCTTACAGTGGCTTGTTGACAATACCCTGTGCAGTTTGTTGGTCTGAGCATGCAATAATTAGCCACATAACACTTAAATTTAGCTCTCTTTCAAATGCTAAACATCCCTGCTCTATAATTATCTCAAGCTTACCTTCTGATTGTGAGCATTTGTTTTAAAATTATAGGTATCTCTATAGAATATTGAAACAAACAAACGGAAAAACCCCAAAATGAGGCAGATTTACCAGTTAAGCCTAACTTGAAGCAGTTGCTGGGGTTTTGCATTTACTGCAGAGGCAGGAAATAAAATGTATCATCTGAATGAAAGTATTTTCAAAAATGATCATATAGTAAATGTATTTTAAAAACTGTGAAACAGTGAGCAGATTAGTGATTCAAATTCACAACAGGTGTTCATCATTTTAGCCTGTTTGTTCTGCTCAAGATGTTGTGATGCAGTTTGTCTGTTGGCTATACTGTAAATTAAAAGATTCAATGAGAGGGTGAGTCCCTGACAATGAGCAGAGCCCTGTTCCTGCAACAGCTCCACATTGCACTCTTGTAGCTAAGACCCAGTGTTCAAACCCACTCTCAACATAAGTATTGTAGATTTATTATTGTTAGGTGCCGGTAATGAGTCAGTTTGATAGTGAAATGATCTCCTTTCCGATCCCGCAGAGTCTATGGGAGTGTCCTTTTCTGGAACAGAGCCCAGTCTAGTCTTCCCACTCACTTCTCTTTCTTCCCCTCTCCTCCCCTCCCAGTTTAGGCTCAGTCCCAGACTATAAAAACAATCTGTACTGTGTAGCATCACCTACTGGCTTTTCAGAATTGGCAAAGAATGTAGTCAAAAGAACACTGTGTGACATTAATATAAAACATACAAGCAGTACCCTATCTTTTCAGCATAATGTGAATTTTTTTTTGTTTTTATCTTTTTCTTTAGTTGCTCGAATTGTTTACAGATTTAAACTCTTACACACATCAACCAGTCTTTACCAATGTAAGGCAATGTTCTCGAAGATTAAAGGATAAATCACATTCTATCTTCTTTCCCTCCATTTCTTCTCCTCCTTTTTTATTTCTTAAAGGATTTATTGTTTTTATCACTGTGCCAGCAGACTCTTACGGGAGAAGTCGAGCAATGCAAAGGTTGCAAAACAATAATCCAAATACAGGGGGGGGGCGATGTACATTGTTGTGCATTTAAAAGTTCTACATGAGGACAGACAAGATGAGTTGCATTTTCTTAGCCTTGACCTGTTTGAAGAGAATGTCAGCGGTTTGATGATTGGGTCACCTTTGTTTGGGCCGTCAGTTTAATCAATGGTGGGCTGATGGGATTTGTAAGAGGGTGAAGGGTCCAGTAATTGTTGACTTAGGCAAATCAGGACTGATTGATTGCTTCTCATACCATGGCTAAACCCCCTATTCTTTGCAACTAAAGCTTGGATGACTGCATGCCATCAAAAATCAGTACATAGAACTCTGTTTGCAGCACACAAAAGCATAACAGATACTTGTGCTTCATTATGTTCACAAGACCTTTGTCGCTTTCTAAAAAGAGTTGAATAATTTCCTAATAACTCTTGTCTTGCTGCTTATTCTTGCAGATTCTTCACACTAGACGCCATGAGTGGGCACCTGAAGAGGAAGTTTCAGGAGGTGGACGAGGACCCATGCTACTCGTCTCCCTCACCCTCTTCCCTCTCCTCTGCCTGCTCAGGCTGGGACTCTGGGGGGGAGAGCTGCTACTCGGACACCCTGGATTCCAATCTCAGCAACCCTTGTTCCCCAGCAACACATTTCAACAGTAGGTCTCTTCTCTCAAGCATTCTCTAAGCTTAACTTCAATATCCCCTGAAGCACTGATGGCAACCCAAAAATGATAGACATCTTTAGTATTTTACGCAACTGACCTCCGATGGAGATCTTGGTAGAAACGTGTCCTTCAGATTTTTTTATGCCCTAAAGCTGCGAAACATGAAATCACATTAGGCATAGTGGTGGCACACCGTGGGTTTTATCTCCACCTTCCTACCAGAACATTAGAGACAGACATATTGCTTCCCCTTTCCTGTCAGAGCTTTAAGTCTAGTAGCTTCAGGGTGTTTACGTCCATCTGAACCCAGCTGAGTCTTTAGGGGGACTGGTAGAGTTTGAAGAGGGGATTGTGTTGTTTACAGGGGAGAAGGTTGTAAGGTTTCCAGGATGGCGGGGCACGAAGCCAGGGAGAGATGCATGGCAGGTTGCCAAGGCTGAAAACACACAGCGCCTTGTCTGAAACCTGGGCGTGCTCCCAACACAGGTGCTAGAAGAGACTGGGTGAAGGGATAGAAAAAAGGTGTGGGAGCACTGGAGGGAACCAGAGCATGCATGCCTTTCTAGATAAACGGATTTATGCGACTATCAGTATTTGGTGCTTTTGTGGGACAGAAAGTTGTCTGCTAGAGACAACCTAAAAAGATGTTTTAATTGGAAGCTGCTAAGTTGATGTTGTTTGTATGTTACTGTCATCACCAAGCTGACTAAATTGAATGGATGTTGTCAATATCTGACCAGCTGTTATCTTTACTTTCCGTTTCTCTACAAACTCACTTTCCCTTTTTAACTATCAAAAAGGCTAACAATTTTATTTCTCTACAAAGACTCAATAAGGAGTTGCAAAGGTAATGGGGACCAGATGGGTAGGGTATTACCAGACTTTTCTTTAAAGACATATGTTACTCTTATTAAAAATGGCTCTGGAAGCGCTTGCAAAAGTTGCTTGGCTTAAGGGAGACTTTAAAGTTGAAAATCCCTTGATGGAGAAAGTAGACTTTGCACTAGCCCCCCTCAATGGTTTATTTTAGGGTAGATCATGTTGGCAACTTTTAACTGTATGGATCATGATTTGGGTGAGTAAGTTCCCAATGTACCTGGAAGCCCCTGGGACTTTACTGACTTTTTGATCTTGGTTTTTCCTCTGCTGGGTTTGCCACCAACAAAAGGGAAATTCCTGTGCTGGGAGTCTTTTGGTCAGACTCTAGTGTTAGCTAGTTGGATTCCCAGTAGTTTGAGTTTCAGTTTACAGGAAGTAAGCATGTCAAACTGCTCCTGGTAGTATCATTTAATTGGGTACTTGAAAAGGCCAGGTCAATGAATCACAGAGGTGTCATTTTACAGTTTCTTCATCAGCATCAGTGCAGACAAGTGGAGTGGTTATGCCATCTAGTGGTAGAAAATAATCCAGCATGACTCTTCATGTTTTCTCAGCTTCTCTTTTTTTGTCCTTCAACAGCAACGTCGATTCTTAAGAAATCAAAGAGAGCGCGCAGAGGCAACGTGACATTCGACCGGGTGACTGTGTACTTCTTCCCAAGATGCCAGGGCTTCACCAGTGTACCCAGTCGGGGAGGTTGCACCCTTGGCATGATGCAGCGCCACAGTGCTCGGCGTACATACACACTTTCAGAATTTGCTTCGGAGCAAGGGCTCCTACGGAGGGAAAAATTCCTCAATAGGCTTAGGGAGGAGAAGCTGGAAGCTTTGAAAATGAAGGTGAGTAATGTGGATTGCTAAGATCTAATGAATGGAGCTCACCCTCCAATATGAAGGAACAAATAAAAATGAATTTCTGTGTGTTTTTCTGTTACAGCTGACAAAGAATGGAACCCAGGTAAGCGAGGAGGCAGAGAGGCTTACGTTAGAGGATATCCGAGAGCAAGATATCGACATGAGCAATGCCAACCTGGACGAGGCCTCTTTCCTCCAGCCTTACCCATCTAAGAAGCGCTATGCACTACTCAAAGCAGCTGGTGTGAAGAAAATCGACAAGGAGGAGAAGAGGCAGCTGCATGAACTGAGGCTCTCTAGGGAGAACTGCGGTTGTGACTGCCAGGGATTCTGCGAGCCTGAGACCTGCAGCTGCAGCTTGGCAGGCATCAAGTGTCAGGTAAAAAAAAAGCCTTAAGATTTCCTGCTTGAATTGTCTGCCAAACAGGACCACAAGTGAAAGTTTCTATTGCAAAGGTTTTACGGTTACGTTCTGCTCATTCCAGATGGACCACTCTTCTTTCCCATGTGGCTGCACCAAAGACGGCTGCGGAAACACAGAGGGTCGCATTGAGTTCAACTCAAACCGGGTACAGACGCATTACATTCACACTATCATGAAGCTGGAGCTGGAGAAGAGGCTAGAGGAGCAGTCCAGCACAGAGGAAGAGGAGGAGGCAAACACTAAAGAACCCAGCACGCAGCTACCAGCGGTGCCCTCCTTCCCTTTCAGCTCGGAGCTGATGGCAGCAGGAGAGAACAGCTGCAGCAGTGACATGACAGACTCATCGGACTCATCTGGTCAAAGCGAGGACTCTGAGGTGGGAGAGAGCCACTGTGAGAATCATAGCCAGCTGGACGTCGATGAGAAAGGCCTGAGCCGGATACTGAGTTTTAACGATGCAAGCAGTGTGGAGAGCATGGAGAGGGAGAGTAAAAACACTTGTTTCCCAAATCATCAGAAGCAACAGCCATCTACAGAGGCTTTCAGTAGCTTTAGCATAGTGGACTTTGCTGATGAAAATGACAACATAGACACTGCTCTTTTGGAATCCACGGATCAGCACACAGACAATCGAGCTACAGCCATTTCAGAACTCTTGGATGAGAACGCCAACCAGGGAAACGGCCTGTTCCACAGCTGCAGTGTGCCACACACACCTTCTCCTAGTGTTGACCGCTCAGCAAGCTATGACATGGACCTAAGCCTCTCCTCTGAGTCTGACCTGGAGTTCTTTGATGGCTTCCCTTGCTTGGGACACAGCTCGCTTTACAATTCGCTTAAAGAGTATGAGCCCATGGACAACTATTTCCATTATCAGCTGCCCAACTACCCCAGCTTCCCAGCGGCGAGCGACACAGGAACCTGCCTTCTGGAATCCCTGATCGGTCTCTCAGAATCCGTCCCAGAGCCTCCTGCTACGTTTACAGACAATCAGTTGATGGAGGAAGCCATGACACTGTCTGTAATAGAGTCTGTGAAAGTTTGACGGAATATGTGAACTATGTAAGAAAGGATAAACCCACCGGGGGGTATTAGCGTTGGGGGTATTAGAAGGGGATTAAAAAATGCACATAAGATGTCAACGTGTTTTGAGGAAGCTGAGATTTCCCTCTTTGTTTTTTTTTTGTTTTTGTTTTTGTTTCTTTGCCAACAACATATTCAGATTCCAGACTTGCCTTCAAAATGATAGCAACTCAGTTTGGGATGATTGCTGTGTGAGATGGCAGCTAGGGGTTACAAGTGGAAAGAGATCATTTTTACTAGGCCAATATAAATGAATTAATCCTAAGAAAGCCCTTTTAACCAAACCAAGACCACCAAGCGCTTGCTAAACAGGAATCAACCTTAAAACTGTTTCCAGGTTGGGTGTTAATCTCAACACAGCTGAATGTTCACCTCAGGGAATTCAATGTTTTCTAGCTTTTGGAGGCAATGTGTGGTGACCATTGCTGTGATTGCCTTCATACAAAACCGAGTCCAGTTGCGATGTATACAGTAGTCCTGTTTGCGTCCCCCCCCACTCCCTTCTGGACATAACTTGAGTGAAGAAAAGCTGAGGTCTCATCCCAAAAGGTACAATGGAAAAAAAAAAAATCCCTGTCAGAGCTCCTCGATCAGCACTTTAAATGTGAAAAAAGCTATGTATGCATCGGCATAGTTTTGGTCGTTTGGGATGGATTCAACAGTTTGATGCTAAATTAAGGAGTTTCTTATTTATGGGCTAGGATTGTTGCTCATATTCTTAAAACGATTAAGTTGTATCTGTATTTTCTTTATTGCTTTTGTTTTAAATTATTTCCTTTATGGTTTTATTTATTTCTGATGAAGCCTATTCTCATTCAAACAGCACTGTGGATTGTTTACCTTAAAGTGCAATCTTCCTCCTTTTTTTTTTTTTTTTTCCATATCACATTAAGGTATTACTATGAGAAATGGAACCAAGTGGCGGTTTTTGACATGATTCATATAGGCTGTTGCCCAGGGTGGCTTTATAAAGGGGCAATCAAGAACCAGTTTTATATTGCTTCTTTGCATGTGCAGTCAAGGAGTGCCCCCTGCTACCTTCTGTTTATGGGGAGACTAGTTTACTCGCTTTATGCAGTGCATTTTATTCCATCCTAGAACCTCAGCAAGGTTAGCAGAAAGGAGAGATTAAACAGAACATCAATCATGTAAGAACCGCCACTAAACGGACCACATGTCCATTGGAAAGTATTTAATATATCTATTCTCTAACACTATGTTTTAAGTTATTCTGTCTTTATTTCATGCGTTATTTAATTTAAAGGCATTTTGGCAATAACCTGGGCTTTCGTGAAGTTTACTGGATGTGCCTGTTTATCAGAGGAGCCATGCTTGTCTGTGGTGTGCGTGCAGCGGTTCCACTTAAGCTTTGGGACTGAAAACTGTGGAATCTCCCTAATCACTGAAACAAATAAAGAAAATTATGATTCTATTTGTATTGCTGCCTATAAAAAACATAGAAAAATGAGACTAATATTTTCTAGCTAATATATGTAGGATGAGAAAAGAATTTTAATCACTGACAAATTGAATATTTTATTAAGAAAGCAAAATTAATAATTTTCAATCTGAGACGACCTTTGTAATATATGAATTATAGAGAAACTCTATGCTTATGAAGGTTAGTGTTCAGAATTATTTTTAATAGGCAGTCAAATGTTTGAATATCTTAGAGAAAAGCCACTAAAACTAAAATTGCAAAAAATCTATTTGATTGTTTTCTGAATATTTCTGGAAGTCTGTGACTTGGGTTAAAGTATGGTAGAAATTACACAAATGCTAAAGGTTATTTTGTATTGAAGTGGTTTAAAAAACTGCATATATTATACAGTTTTTATTCCCGAACCCTGAAATTTCATTGGTTATCAACTGAGACCTTTTTAAAGCTGAGGGACACTAGAGAGCTGATGTACATATCCTCACCCTTTCCAGAGCTGTTTTAACAGCCTTTTCTGGACCCTTTAGAAATTATGCATGCAGGTCCTGTTTGATAAAACTACTTCAGAATAACTGTATACTTTGAAAAGTGCAAACTGCACACTGGAAATGTATTATTCGCTTTTTGCCTTTTTTTATTTTTATTTTATTAATTTTCAACCTGTATATGTTCATAAGCCACAAAGACTGGCAAATTTTTTTTCCAAGCAGACATTTTTCTCTTGTATAAAACATGAAATTTCATGAAGAACTTGGATCAGTAAGTGTTTATCAGTGTAATATACTACAGTACAATTTATTATTATTTTTCAAAAGAATGTGTCTTACTTTTTGCCTTTTTGTGTTGTGCTTATTTCTGCTTGAAATGGTCCTGCAGAGCAAACAAAGCTGCTTTATTTTTTACATATTCACACATTAACCTGCTGTTCAAAACATTTTGACAGCTTGTCCCTCCAAATGATAATTAAAAAAACATTCTTTTGTAAATGCATGGCTGTTTTTGTGATTTCTTATATTGGCTACAGGTATTTTAGAATAAGAGGATATTTCTGGAACTGTTTTTGCAGGTCACACTACAACAACAAACAAAAAGTCCTCAATAATTAAATTTAAAAGTGAGGAATTTGTTTTAAGCCAGAAATTAAATGTGAGTTTTTTTCTAAATGGCTAAAAATCAAATATAAATAGGCCTCTCATTGCATTGATGGGTGGGGAGTTATGCCGTGGGAGTGTTTTTTTTTTCTTAGCAGGTACAATGAAGATAAACAATTTGTGAAAATGGATAAAAATTAACAAAGGGTCTTAAAGAAAGAAAACATGTTAGATGCTTTAAAAGACTAGTGAATGGGGAAGAGGTTCATCTTTTCCAGCAGGACTCAAAACTTAACTAAAGCCACAACCTAACAGTTGAGATTGAGGAATACTTGTATATTCAATAGCCCATCCTCTATGTCCAAAGCTGGTAAAGACATACCAGAAGGGAACATGAGCAAAGAAAATATTCTAAGTTAATATGTAACAGATGTAAAACGTCACGTTTCACCGCAGAGGTTCAACCTGAGCCATAAAAATTAACAATGCGCACAGTTTATGAGGTCAAGAAGCCATTTTGTGTACAAGCCGTTTGAAATATTTCCATAAAGAAATTATTTCCCCTTCCATAAATAAAAAAGGAAAAAAAATTTTACCTAGCCTCCTGATATCTCTTGTTTAAAGCCTGCATGTCTGAAGAAAATGGAAAAATACTCAGTATGATGTCATGTTGTAGTCTCTCCAAACACCACAAACATATGGCTCAGAAATTCCAGGCAGGGGGGTATGTGACCGCTTTTAGCTCACATTTGGTCACAATTAGGAAGGCTTGGGCGAAAATTGCACAAATCTTTTTGCTTTCCTTGATCCTGACAACTTGGGAAAAAATATTTTTCTTTCATGCCGTTTAAGTACTTTTCAGCCTGAAAAAGAACATTTCCCTGTGATCCTTGGTTTAAAAACATCCTTTGGAATTTTCCATCATCTCAGACTACAGCTTGGGAGGTCAGAAGATCAGAATCACAATACCTTTGTTGGTCGTGGACTAATGACAGCCCAGGGGTTGTGTTCCAAAAACAGCAACAAGGCATGTAACCAGTTCAATATGGAATGCATTTCCAACACTGTCTAGGGAATGTAAGGCTATTGCATCGATCTAAAGAGCCCTGTGCTTTATGATTAAAAAAAAACATGACACACCTTACCCACCAAGCAATAATTGGTTGAAAAGATGACATGATTTAAGTCTAAAGAATGTCTACATTTAGTTGAAAAGAGGTGAAAAGCTGTATTTTTCAGATCATTGAAAAGATGTTGAAGACTGTGTTTGCAACTTCTTTTCAACATCTTTTATTGCACTTAAGTGGGACAAGATAAGACCGAACAAACAGCCCAATTTTCAGCAATGAGTTTTAAACTAAATCAAGCCTAAAAACCAACATCTGGTGTTTGGGGGGGGGGGTGCAGTGTTTTGAGATTAAGATGTATAGTATTGAGTTTCTTGAAATAATTTTATTTCACTAATTCGACTTGCAAGTTAGAGGACTGAACTTTTCTGTCTAATTTCCAATCTTTGATCCATAACCTGAAAGAAAAAAGAAAATAAAATACATCCAGTTATATTCATTCTGGGTACATTAGGCTTAATTGTGGAGATGCTTACTGAATACATCCAGTGGAGGAAGGAAGAGACTCGTGTAAAGACGGTGGGTTTAAACGGTTGGTTGCAAACGCCGGCCGGACCGTAGCTGACAACACCGTGGACTCTCCAAACTCCATCAGTTAAGCAGTTTAGGGGACCTCCAGAGTCACCCTACGAAATTGCAGAGAATGATCAAAACTACATTACTCTCTTTACACTTTTTCTTCATAACATGCACATCTCTCTATAGATCAGTGGTTCCAAATGGCTTAAGCTTCAAACCACATAATGTTCTCATAGACCTATTGTCCAAATTACCACTGGTGGAAGAGTTTCGGTGTGCTGTTTAGCTGATAAAATGATGACCAAAGATGCCTGGATAAAATAAACAATTTTATACCTTATGGTAAAAGCTACCCTTATCAAAAATTATATCAAATATCATTTTAGAGTAATTAATGTCTCTGAATTTCTGCACAGAGAGCAAGATTTCTTAAGTCCAAAATTAGTGATGAACATATTCAACACCTGTTCAATGAATAGCACTTGGAATTAAGTAACTTTAAAATTATTTATCCATCAAATCGTTTACATATTTAAATAATTTTACACAGAGGTATTTCTAAATAATCTGTCTTCAAAGGGTAAAAAAAAATACAGTAAAAGAACTTAAGGAGATTAATCTATTTTTAAGAAACTGGATATAGTTTAATCAAGCTTGTTAATTTATTAAAGATTTGCCCCACAGTCTCCCACTATCAAATACCAGACTTCTGCCATAAATAATAAGAAGTAACTAGTTTAAATAAATAAGAAGTTCTCCCTATTCCTCTAACGTACTAATTTGCTAAGTTGGAATTTTTTTCGTTATAAAGAAAACAGAACAAAGTACAATGTTTTTTGTTTTTCTATGCTATTTTTGTTTATGCGTTTTAGACGTTTTTGTGGAATGGGTCCACAGTTGGATTATTATTATAACAAAAACCTCCGTTGAAAAACAGCTTATAAAATCGGTGCTGCTTCCTGCTACAGTGTCATCAGTTAGGACGTTTTCATTTGGCAAATAAGCTGTTGCATAGTTTGGGTTTGTCTTGGGCTGAGACTTCTCCCACATATCAGGCTTTATGACCCAGATTAGTGCCCAACATCTAACTTTAGGAACCAGAGCACTACATATTAGCCATTCTAAATTCAGATTCTACAAACCATATCTTTAGTTTCCATACCTGGCAGCCAGATATGACTCCATCCCCTCCAGCGCAGAGCATAGTTTTAAGAGCAATGCTGCCCCACCACTCAGGCTGGGAGCAGACCGCATGCTCCACCACGTCCAGAGGAGCCTCCTGCAGTTTGTCTGGGACGCTCCCATTATCTGAGTTGGCAACATGAAATACTTCATTATTTTATCTATGTGTTTTGTGGGTCCATATTTAATACGTACACGATCATAGATCTGTGCACGGGAAAAACGATCTAGAAATAAGTAAAAATTTCATAAATTAAGTGTATTTACCCTTAATTTGAGTAGGTAAATGAGACAGTTTGCCAATGAAATTAGAATTTTATAAAACAAGATAATTAGATTATATGTTATATTGTTTTCTTATTTTAGGTGTAAATTGTCTTGTTCCATTGGCAAAATGTCTCTTTTACCTCCTTAATTCAACAAAAAATGCACTTATTTTAAGGAAAAATGATTTATATAGATTTGATTTTTTTCCAGTGTGTAATTACAGTCCATTAATCCCCAGCCTGTGATGTAACAGGTGAAGCCATGAGGAAGCATCTGGTCTGCATAGGGAAGGTTTGCGATTTCCACGTAACCATTGTCATAGATGGGATTAGCCAGCTTCAACAGAGCGATGTCATTGCTGAGGAAAATAGGAAGAACAACTAATATTACCAGAAATTCACTGTTCTTTAACTCTTTAGTACAAAGGTTTAAAAGAAAATAATAAGATTAAATATTATATTGAAATCCTATTTACATCATGCATTTTAATCTGGAGGGAGGAACATAAATAGAGGGGAGTCACTTTTGTCCTTCTGACTGCAGGAAACAGTTTGCTGCTGAGTCCGACCACCTGCCAGTGCTTTGGAGGAGGGAGGGCTCTGCAGCAGCACTTGCTACTTGCACAAGATAGTAAATTCAGAGCAATTGGTCATTTCATTTCGTTGGCAAAGTCTCCAACACTGAAAAAAGCTAGTTGCTTTTAACAAAAAACAAATTGCTAGAGGGGTCTGAAAAGTCACTTAGCTGGCAACAACATACTGTTCTAACTTACTATATATACATTAATTGCTCCAGGTATTGGTTTCATAAGCTTATTGGCAGTGTTGGGCACGTTACTTTGAAAAAGTAATTAGTTATAGTTACTAGTTACTTCTTCCAAAAAGTAACTGAGTTAGTAACTGAGTTACTCCACAATAAAAGTAACTAGTTACTAGTAAAAGTAACTATTGCGTTACTTTTGCGTTTCTCACCCTCACCACCTGGCCCCCACCTGTGAAGTTTTTTAACAGGGCGTTCAGATCTGGTGAGTATATGAAATTAATAACCGTTATTTCCATCTTGAAAACGCTCTTTTGCTGCTGGAGCCCTCCTCACTCTCCAACTCTCTGTGTGTGCTGTACGTACAGTAACGGGGTGTCGGCAATGGTAACTGCGTTATAGTTTCAGTCAAAGTAATTAGATCACTCGTTACTAAAAAAAGGTAACGGCGTTAGTAACGCCGTTACTTTTAACGCTGTTAGTCCCATCACTGCTTATTGGTAAAAAGGAAAAATCTGAAAAGTGCTTCTTTGCCTGAACTTGGTAATGTATTGTCTTTAGATCATTTTTTTAAATTAAAAATTGGTCTGTATGATTAGTTACTTGTTAAACCTATACATTTTTTTATTCGCCCATGAGTCATTTTTTGTTTGTTTGCTTTTGACCTTTGATTTGGTTAAAATATGTTGACATATTGCAACTCTTTCTTAAAGTGTAACACGCCCCTTGTGAAAACTTAGCCTAGCCTAGCTATGCCTTATAGAAACAAGGAGAGTGAACAGAGAGATACTGGAAATTACAACAATGACAGATGTTTTGAGACAGGGGATGTTCCACCCCTTTCCACCCAGAAGTATGAGTAAGGCTTTGTAAAACCCAGCTGGCCCTTATCAAGTCAAGCCAGTTGTAAGATAAAGATGACTAAGCAATGCAGGAAAAGGTTGCTGCTGAAGCAGCGAAGGACAGTTCTCACTATGACTCTCTATGTTTCTGAGTAAGTTGTATTTATACACTATCATGGGGATATTATGTTAAATGGTTATCCCAAAAAATGCTATTTTAAACAATAGGGCAATTAGACTGCAACAGCCATGGCTCAACCGCTATGAGCAGCACTGAGACTCTTTTTTGAGACAAATATTGCTGAATGAAAATCTCACATAAAAATGTAAAAGAAAATGCACAGTGACTATAAAACAGCAGCCCACTGATCCAGTTTATACAGCTTATTTACAAAAAAGTTGTTTTTAGAGTTAGTAAGTACAATTTTTGGCTACTCCATCCACCTTGCAACATGGCAACCCAAATTATTTTATGATAAATACATTAAATCTGATAGAAATTTATTTTAAATAACCTATTTGGTTTTTATCTCTTATTTGAAATAAAGTTAATACATAAATAAATAGTAAGCATAATAAAAAAGTATGTTTTATAATTTAGAAGCAGCTAAAATGCTTCATATTTTTCATATTTCTATTTGTAAATTTAATATTAAAATGGAGATATATCATTTTGAAAATTGCTACTTACCCTTTGGCCAGATCTCCGTTCCAGTCAGGATGAACTATGATTGTTTCCACAGAGGTGAATTGCTCACTGCCGTCAAATTCAAACAGGCTGTACTCACCAACCGCCACACGGTACTGACTAACATCTGAGCTGATGGGGACAGAGAGAGGAAAGAAAAGAAACAATACAATTGCATACTTTTATCAGAACTTCAGGGGTCTGATGCGAGAAACTAACCTTATGATGCAGTGTGCTGCTGTCAAGATGTAAAAACTATCAACAATGGAGCCTCCGCAGATGTGGCCAAAGGAACCTTCATTGTATGAATCTAACTGAAGTGAAACCTGAGAAAAAATGAACGACTAATTATCTGTATGCTGTGTTTGATTTTATCTGCAGAGGTTTAATTATTCTTTACCTGCCATTTCCAGGTGTTTGGTTTAGCATCACTGCCTCCTATGACCCTCCCATTGTTAACCCTATAGTTAAAGGGTTCGTTGCAACAAATAAGCCCTTTTGAAAAACACACAATGATACATGTAGGAAGCAGTAATGACATGGATGTTTATAATTTTTGGAATAAAATGATGAAAAGTATATATACCAAAGCAGGAGAGGAAAACCACAAGCCAAATCATGTTGAAGGAATGAATGCTCTGTGCACTTTGAAGTATTTATATCAGTTTCTCACTGAAAGACCTTCAAAATGTTTGACTGAATTACACAGATGTTTAGTTATCTGGCCCGACCAGCAGCTAATGTGGAACATTCCTCACACAAAGTGGGAGCTTAAAAAATTGCAGACATAATGAAAAAGCAAATTCTTTATGCTTTTAAGAACCCCAGATTCAAAAATTCCTATCCTTTATTAAAATTTAACTTATTTCATTTTGTTATGTATTAATATTCTGGGAAAAGACCAGGTGAAGTCTGATGATGACATCACGTCCCGTTGAGAGAAAGTCAGCAAAGCCCTTTAGTTAAACAGGTGAGTCAAACATAAAGAGTGTGCAGTTACACAAGAGTTTAAACAGTGCAGATAATGTAAAGAAGAAAATGTTCTTCAGCATAGTCAACATAGTTAATCAACACATTTGTACTGAAGATATTCTAAACATAAAAAAAATGTATATGTGCGGGGATTAAAAATATGTCTAACCAAAACATGGGGATTTCTTAGAGGAAACTAGTCAAATAAAAACTTTGTTTCTTGTGCTACAATTCGTATTTATTATAATGTATGATTTTTCCTGAGGTCACAACTAAGCAATCAACGTCAAAAATCCTGCCATTTTTTATTACCATATAAACTATATCTTTTCTACATCAACAGTATTGCTGTCCAAGCAATCTCTAAAGGGAGTAGTTGTTTCTACAGACATAATATTCTTTAACCTGTTGTTGATTTTAATAAATACTGGAGTACAGTACACTGGTTTCTTATTTGACTGAAGCCTTTTTCTGAATAACAGCAAATAATGTTAAGCCAAACATTAGAACGGTGTATTATGTGTGTGTGTTTAAGAAAACAGGCAAAATGATGTTAAGTAAATAAATTAGGAGAAAATGAAAGGAAAATGATATCTTACATGTAAGATGTATGCTCATTGGGATTTTTTTTGATTGCATTTGTTACTAGATGAAAACAAAAAAAATAGGTTTGTGTTCAGACAGACAGACAGACAGACAGACAGACAGACAGACAGACAGACAGACAGACAGACAGACAGACAGACAGACAGACAGACAGACAGACAGACAGATAGATAGATAGATAGATAGATAGATAGATAGATAGATAGATAGATAGATAGATAGATAGATAGATAGATAGATAGAATATGACACATACTCATTTTTCAGTTAATAAAATAAATATAATAACGCATTTTATTTTAAAGGCACCTTTCTGGAAACTCAAACTCAACGTACAAAAGATAAAAACGCAATGGCAGAAACAAAGTTAAAACAGAATAAAAACCATTTAATAAAAAAAAAAATACAAAGTACTTTGTGTTGTCTGTTTCCTAGAAACCCCATCAAGGCACGGCAATCGAGTACAGATTGTTGTCCCCTGTTGTACTCAGAGATCTGCTAACCTCGCTCCTTTAGTTTCGCCTGGCTGTTTTACACCTGCTGGCGGTCTGGCTTCCATGCTAATGTTAGCTGGCTCTATGCTCTATCTATCCTGTCTATTTTCCAATGATGGTTGCAAACACAGCTCTGCCTCAGTGACAGTAGAGCTGTAACCGCTGAAGACCATGGGGCTATCGCAGAGCTCGCTCCTGTCAGACGCTGGAAGTAACAGTGGATATCATGTTCACGGAGTAGGTTGTTCCAGCACAAGGTTAAACATTACGGTTGCATTAAGAGGGTTTGGGGTTTACTATTAAACACGTCCTGGTTATAATAAGTTGACTAGAAAAGTGTGCGATTTATCTAAGATATTTATCTTTAAAATAGGTTCTTTAAGTTTGCTGTTGGTGTTCTCCACCCATCACTTTCATCATGATGAGTTGGCATTTGGCAGGTGTCCAAGCCTGTTATCTGTTCACTGATATCATTTCGGTTTATTTTCAGTAAACTTCCCAAAACAAAAAAAAACATTAAATAAATATTAAAGTTAGACATAACTGCCAACACACGTGTATCTCAAGCTGTGCAGTAATTTATGGCAGAATATTTTTCTGGCACATGCAGTACATTAAAACAGCCACACGATGGCGACAAATTACTTGATATTCATTTCAGGTTCAAGAAGAATCGCCTGCACTCAAGGCTGGACTGGAGCCTTTCTTTGACTTTATTCTCTCTATAGGGAACACCAGACTTGTAAGTATTTATCTATCTATGCACTTTATTTTTCTTTTAGTATTACATTTTGTAGATTCACCCATATCCCTTTGTCACCACAGAATAAGGAGAGTGATTTGCTGAGAGATCTACTGAAGGCCAATGTGGAAAAGGCAGTCAAGCTGGAAGTGTACAGCTCCAAAACTCAGCGGGTGAGGGAGCTGGAGGTGACACCCAGTAACATGTGGGGTGGTCAGGGGTTGCTGGGCGCCAGCGTTCGCTTCTGCAGCTTCGAGGGAGCCAACGAGAATGTGTGGCACGTGTTGGTAGGTACACTCTTCTACTCTAAGATGCATATTTTAAACTCAGGCCACAACATAAATGTTACAGACTTAAAAACCTACATGTGTGAATTAATTTAATCCTTCAAATGATTATTCAGTCAATTATCCCTTTTTTTTTTTTCTTTTAGGACGTGGAGGAGAATTCTCCTGCATCCCTTGCTGGCCTTATTGCACATGAAGACTTTATTGTCGGGGCTGACCAAGTGTTACAAGATGTAGGGTTTTATCTCTTCTATTTTTTTTTTTTGTCTAAGACATAAATCATTAGAAAATGTAACTATGAAAACTCATAATGCATATCTATTTTTGTAATTCTGCAGTCAGAGGATTTCTTCTCCTTGATTGAAGCCAATGAGGGGAAGTCTCTGAAGCTTTTAGTTTATAACGTGCAGACCGATCAGTGCAGGGAGATTGTGGTGACCCCCAATGGAGCCTGGGGAGGAGAGGGGAGGTTGGTATTTAGCTGTTTGATTAATATAATCACCCAATAACCCAAACTTATGAATCCTGGTTTTTATGAAATAAGTTGTTTTTTCTACTATAAAGGACCTAAAACTCTAATGTATTTTGTAGCAACCCTAACAATTCTTGTCAAACAGATCAAGCTTTATATTAGCAGATAGAGGTAGATATGTGTCTTCAATCACTTTTCATTAATAATTTGTGACTTCCTTTTTCTGTTGGTATTGATACGGTGTAACACGGGGACCTAGTTCTCTAAGCTACTTTAGATAAGAGAACAAGGCAAACAAGTAAAGGATCATCAGTCATAATACAAATGTATTTCAGGGTTTTAGTGCATATGTGTGCTAAGGAGGTAACAATTTAAAGGGCTGTACTTCAATACCTGCTTCATTATAGGTAGATAATTTTTTATTGCTTTTCTGTATATTTAGTGGTATAGTGGAGGATTTTCGCGAATGTTTGAAATGACCAGTCCTCTCCACTATAAAAAAAAAACTGCACATGCACAACCCTATACCTACTCCCGTGAGGGAAAGCTTATTAAATGCGTGTTTAATACTTGAGAGCGTGCACAAGCCCCTTTCTCCTCGTTTTTAAAAGTTGCTGTTTGCATCGCTCATACAAGCTTACTTTCCAAAAGAAGATTTGCAATTTTTCCACTATGTCTGACTCACCACCGGTAAAAGAAAAAGGGTATGAGCATGTAGCACGGCCTTCCGTAAACATATTACGGTACATGAATGATTGACAATTAGGAGGACCACTTATCTTAATAATCCACCTGGAAAAGGAACATCCTCTACTGTACTTTTAAGTGCTTTCAAAATGGAGAAAATCTCAAACTAAAGCAAAGATTTCATGTTTTCATCATAAAATGTTCTCTCCCTGATAATTCTGTTCATCTTAGATCCTCTCCTTGTTTAAGCACTTTAGGCTTTCATAACATTAGAAAGAGAAAAAAATATGGATGCCATATATGCAGAACTGCAGCTTTCTGTAGCACCTGACCTTGTAGCAATGAATTATAATTTGGAGTCCAGACCTGAATTCATTAAATAAAAAGTTACCTGAATAACAGATCTGAGTGGCAGCAAGATATCTTTCTAAATTCAATGACATGAAAAGGTTTGTCATTCATAGGTTGTTACTGTGTAAGTCCTATCTCTTACAGTCAAAGTATTTATTTTGTAAATATAGAATGCAACCTACAAATTTTTGTGGAATAATATTTTTTGGGGGCGGGCTGTACTTTCATAAATGGGGTTTAAAACCTAAACATGAACCGTCTGTATTTCCTGTATCTCAGCTTAGGCTGCGGTATCGGCTACGGCTACCTACACAGGATCCCATCTCGTCCAGTTCCCCCAAATGTCCAGGACAGAAATGTTCCCCAACCAACGGCTACAGCTAGCAGGGAAGGGGTGACCTCGTCTGACCACAGTGAGGTACAGAGTTTGGTTATTTATGTTATTTAAACACACCCCTTACACACAATGGGCCTCATGCAAAGATATTTTCGTATTGTTAGACGTTTCTTGTACTTTTTTCCTACCATGGGCTTTTATGGATGCGATACGTCAGATTCACCAAACATTCTTACCTTCAGGAAATTACCTGTTGCACTCCACCTGTGCATAAGTTAGCGCTCGTTCCTGAGAAATTTAAATCTGCATAATTACCACCCTGATTATTCCCTATTACAGTGGCGTAACTTTCTGAAGGACTGGTGTGGGCATGTCCCCACCAATAATTTCCTCTTTTTCCCCCTTGTCGCTTTGGGACATAATATTATTTAGGGTCGCTATTCACTGCGTACAGAGTCGCTATGTGGAGGAGGAGAGATACTGGATATGGCAAGCCAAATTAAGCATACAGTCCGTGTCGTTTGGCCAAATATCGAAAGCCGTTTTAACATAAATTCGCTGCAGCACTCAGTGAATTTTAACTGGCAGCTACTTCGATATATGTTTTAGTAAAAGTTAGGAGACGGGTTGGTTAAAAACATCAGAGATGCCACCGAAAAATCAGTTCGTTACACATACAGAGCTTTTTCAACTAATAAATGGCAACAGAGTGTACATTTATATAAGCAAAAAAAATAGCTTGGCTTCTCAGGACCGTTGCTCAAAGTTATAGAGTAAAATGAAAAATGAATGATCTGTTTTTAAGCAGAGCAGAGACACAATTAGGGACAGCTGCAGATTTAAAGGTGAAACAGATTAACTGGAATATGCAACATGCAATAAAATATATCCCCAAGTTTACCAGAAAAAATACACAATGCTATAATAAAATTCAACATATCTTTTTGTCTTTTGTAGCTCAAAGAGACTCAGAAATAGCTGTGCCAGCCAATCCAGAGAGAGTCAGCCTCACACGACACAGACTTAAAATTAAAGTATAAGAAACCTACAAGAATTAAAGCTCAAATAATAAAAATCAGTGTATAAATGATTTACACTATATTCAATATATAGACTTTGGCTGTCAATGACATTTGGGACAAACTTCTAAATTATATTTTGCTGCTCGGGAAGGAGGATAATCAGTGATGCATTTTAAAGGGAAGCCATGCATGGATGGGTGGATTAAAGTGAAGTTGTGTCCATACTAGGGATGCAGAATATATTGCTGTTGGCATCGGTATCGGCTGTTATACGTCATTTTTTATACATTAATGTTTTTGAGCCCTTTATAAAATAATGCACTAAAGGCAGGCATCTTTCTGTAACTATAAATTCCACAAATACATTGTGGTTCTCTTATGTTCTCAACAATATTAAGCATTCAATAAATATATGTTTGAGCTAATTTTTGGAAAATATAAACTCTATTGAAAGCGTTTCGGGTTGAGTAACTCTAGGTCCATCAGTCACCACCCATAGAGCGTCCCCACCAACTTTTATCGCTAAGTTACACCCTTGTCCTGTAAGGTCATGAATTCCCACGCCTCTGTGATTTGATGACATTCATAGAAATGGCTTTGAAGACAGAAGAAAAACTGCAAAGTCTCCCTTTAATACGCAAACCATCTACCATCCCTTCATCATACTCTCCGTCTCTATCACAACACATAAACATATATGAAATATCGACAGCATAACTCTAATTTAATATTCAAATATTCTGCATTTAATGTAATAACAAAGCCAAGCAGCTATTACAGCTGTTAGTTCAATGGGTTTTTTTTTCTATTGACGAAGGGACAGAAAATTAAAGCAATGTTCGCTGAATACTGACATGTCAGAATTAACCGAAAGAAGAACATTTTAATTTATAATTGCAGAGTTGCGTGATATATAACGATGCAGCCTAATAAAATGGACAGCTGCTTCTTAGAGAAACAAATGTAGTCATTTAGTGAAAAACTAGGTTTGGATAACAGCTGACTGATTGGGCAAGACTCCTATATCAAGTCTGGAGCAAAATCGGTTTGTGCCGATTAGAAACAGGAGAAAAATTATGAATGCGACATTCTCTCCTAAATCACTAAAACAAATGATTTAAGAAAAAATTTGTTTGTTTGAAACACATCTTGCATGAAGCCCAATGTCTAATATCTGAAATTCTCCTCAGGTTCCTCCGCTGACTGAACGCATCCTGACTAATGAAGCAGGTTTACCTGAAACTGGAGGAGATTTGCCTAATCTCAGTGAAATCTCACCCCAGGAGGAGTCTCCAGGTGAAAGTATTTATATCTTCTGAATTTTTCCACATTTTGTTTACATTACAACCACAAACTTCATTGTATTTTAATTATTTTAATTATTAGAAATCTAAAAGAGCAAACCATTCTGTGGATCAACCATCATTCGATTTAGAGCTACACATATACTGATTAAATTTGCCTATGGGAATTCAACCTTCAGTTTGATTGGATGGAGAACGCATTAGAACATCTTGCCACACATTTACTGTATTTACTTTTTGAATTTGACCTGGCCATCCTAATATAAATAATGACTTCCACCCGACTTTCATTATTAATTTCACTGCAAAACTTAGAAATCTAAATATGTCCTTTTTTTTCTTAAAATAAGAGCCTTTTTTCTTGAATTGAGACCCTTCGCCAATAGACTTTGACAGTTTACATTTAAAATATGAAAAAAACTATCGAATTGTTTTATTTGAAGTGTATTTTAGGAGTGAAAATACTAATTTCTTTGACAAAACACCTTATTTACCTACTTAAATTAAGGGTACTTACACTAAATCTAAGACATTTTTACTTATTTCTAGATTGTTTTTGCAATGAGCCTGCCTCTAATAGCTTTTTATTCAGGATTGTACTCCATCTAGCTCTATTTGATCTATTTTACCAATTCTATGCATAATGCTTCCACCACCATGCCTTACTATCTCATCTCTGACCTTCAAAGAAAAGTTTCCTTTATGCTGGAGTTAAAGATGGTCTCCGGATATAGTTGACTTCTGAAGGAAGTTTGTTGCAGCTGACCTTATATAGGAGTATCAGAATTAAAAGTCCTAACACATGCTGATTTATATTTTCTGCATTTATAAATGGCTTATGCATCATGCTGCTTTCAGACATCTCCAGCAGTCCTGGAGCCTTTAACTCAGATTTGGCCAAAGCTGTTTCTACCATGGATGAGGGCCACAGCTCCATGTTTGCTAATTATGGAGATGACACACGTGACCTATGTAGCTTTGGTAAGTTATTCACTCACTATTACATTTTGCTGTTTGGTGGACTCAATTCATTATTTTCTATTCCTAAAAAATTACTTTACTTTACCTGTTTCTCCAGATTTAAAATGTAAATATTATCTGCTGAAAATGTTATATCTGGATGCATGGTGTAGGATCAAATTTTGGAATAATTGTACGTTAACGATATAATTATCCTTCATAGATGATTCAATTTTTGACCAAACGTCTTCATCTCAAGAGAAAGAAGAAGAAGAAGTCAATCAAACTGAGCATGAGGGAGTTTTAAATCATAGCAGCAGAGAGGATGTGGATGATGCTTCTGCTGCCCTCAAGGATACCACAGAGCGCCTTGGGAGCATCCCAGAGAGGCAGACTCCTAACATGGAAGCTTTCAGCCCAGACCGCCTCTTAGAACAGGAGCTGATTGAGTCTGATGCGTCAGGCAGTTGAATAACAGCAGCAGCAGAGAAGAGGGAGAAAAAGGATTAGGAGTGATGGAGAAAAGCTACATTTGCTTCTTTTTCTTTTAAAGATGTATCACTGGACCTGTTTTTAAGTTAAAGGACTTTTGTTTCTCCCTGTGCCACTACTGCATGCTGCATTGCACATTGGGAATTGATGTAAAGCATTTTGAATGTACTGTAATAAGTTTTAATATTTAACTATATGAAGCCTTAGTTGATCTGTTTAAAAAAACAAACTAACTTAAATACATAAAAGAGGAGGCCAAGATTTTATTTTGTGGATTCTGGAATGTGGGATTTATTGATTGTCATCAGGGCCAAGTGTAATAATATGTTGTTTTTTTAGTTTTTATTCTCAGGTATTTAATATTTTGTACTTTCTGCCATTAAGTGCTTACCTCAGAGTATTTAGTAGTGCAAAGGAGCAGCACACTGTTCCTGTTTTTTGTTTGAAATTATGATTCCAGTTTCATTTATATTAAAAAATGTATTTCAATGCTGGAAATGGTTGTGTTATCTCTATTTTAACAGACCTCAGAACTAAAGCATACAAAACAAACAACTTTGAATCAATACCAGATTACTTCTAATTTAGCTCTTTAAAACCCCATTATTCTGCAACCATAAGCAGCATAGCCTGTCATAGACGAATTAGCCATCTATAACTAGCCACCATGAGGCAACTAGCCTCATGGTGGCTAGTTGCCAATATAAATTATAAGAAAGATAGTTTTGAAAAGTACTAAAAAGGTCTCTTAGATTTGTGCTGCCAAATGTAAATGTGATTCACTGTTATTCTACTTAAGAAAAGGTTATTCTTTGCCTTTTTTTCATTGATGGAGCCCTGATAATTAAAACGCATTCAGTAAGTTGCATATTCTTAAGATGCAAGCAAATTATGGCATCTCTAACATTTTTCTGCATTTAAATAAGGTATTATACATGTATTTATAGAGATGCCTGACCATATTTAAGTTTGTGTAGCTAAAATAAAGAGATAAAATTGCTTGATATTCTTTAAATCCAGATTATTATGCAGAAAGAATGCCATCTGATGAACGTACTGGATAATTTAAGAGTGAAAGACAAAAAATGCAACAACATAGTCACCCAGATTTACAAAAAAAATGTCACAAAAGTCACATAATCTTTTCCTGAGGGGTTTGCTGGATATTATTTATATTTATTTCTATCTTAATAAATTTGTTAAGAATTGCAAAAAAGGAGAGAAAAAAATATGTTTACTCAACACTATGCAATTATTTGACCTGCAAAAAGAAATGTTTTGTTAACACGGGATATAAACCTAACTGTGCTAAGCACCAAATAGAGTTTTTACTAGACAATTCAATTCAGTTTATTTATATAGCGCCAATTCACAACATAAGTAATCTCAAAGCACTTTACAGAAACAATTCAACCAGATCAGACAGTCAAAATGATTCAAAGTTTTCTATCTAAGGAAAATCAGCTGATTGCATCGACTCATTGACTAGACAGCAATTTTTCACACCAAGAATACTTGTAGCAACAGTGGAGAGGAAAACTCCCTTTTAACAGGAAGAAACTTCCAGCAGAACAAGGTTCAGTGTAGAAATTCAATTAAGACAAATAAAAAATTACTTAAGATGTGTCTAAATTGAACAGCAGGTAAGATATCCAGATAATAAACTGTGATCAACTTGGGGTTAGTCAAAGTATGTGCGAATGGATTACAGAAAGGGGGAGCCGACACATCACCATATGAAGCTATGACCCTTTACTCTTTATTAAGAGGAATTAACACCTTAAAGCCCATTGGTGCAAAGATGCAACAAACCCTATGTACTACACAGCCAAGATAAAACATTACCCCCATGCCAGTTATTAAACATTCAGTGTGGACCTAAAAACCTTTAGCAAACTCTTGTTTCTGCTACTAATTTTCTCCTGATGGTGTTTTTTATTATTGAATGTTAATAATGTCAGAAATTTCTAACATACCTACATTTCAATTTATTGTTTTAAATGAAAATAAATAGAACTTTTACTACTTATAGCGGGTTAAAACTAAATCTTGGGCCATAAGGGAAGGGAAGGGGTTAAAGGGATATCAATTTTTACCTTTTTTTTTTTCAAAACATTTTGCTCCCCATTCTTTCTTAGAATTTATGGGCTACTTCTCTGATAATTTATGGATCTCACTATTGTTAAAGACATTTAAAGAAACTTTAAAAATACACGCATTAAACCAAATTTCATGAAATCCTCCATGAATTTTCAGAAAGCCTTAAAAAAGTAGTCTTGCAAAGTCTTTAAGAGCAGGTAGGATTAGGAAACACCTCATCAGTGAGTTTAGTTCCATATACAGAACATTTAAACTACTTTTTTCTTGGAGGATAACAGTTTAAAGGATTCATTACTCCACTTTTATCATCTCATTTTATCACTTAGTGACAAAGAAGAAAACACAATAAATCTGACAGGAGTCTTTAAAGTTTGGAGGAATGGTTTAGCAAAGGATTTGGAGCTAGAATGAAAATTACACTTACTTTAGCATCAGTGGTGTTTTTTGTGTGTTTTAAGGGCAATCTGCTTTGTGAATTTGTGAAGACAAAAAGCAAATTGCATAAAATACAAGACTCCATATGCATTCCTGATGTTCAATTAGGCTTCAAAAGTGAAGTTATGCTTTCAGGCAGCAGGGGTCAGCAAACACCCTCTCTGAATCCTAGCTGTGTTTTTCCTCACTGCAGCTTGGAAAAATGATGACAGATCTAGACTCACATTTTCACATCATGAATGGAGCAGCACTGCTAAAGTGATGTTTTGACTTACATCACATTTCGTGCAGAAAAACCAAAGTTATTGTTTGTTAAATGAGGTAGAGAATATGTTGGTTAATTATAGATGATGTCTAAAAAACACAGGCTGCCAAACCAAGCAATGCCATTTATCATTTGTACAATTTGTACCTTTTAATGCAAGTGACTGTAATCAACATTTTTTTTGTCTGGGTTATTTCCTTTTTCAGATTTCTAATAAAAAAACTGAGAAATTCTAACTTAATAAATTAAAAAAATTAAAAAATTTGTACAGAAGTAGTGTTTTTGGAAGATGTTTAGGACCACACAACAATGTCTTTGGATGCAAAAGAGACAATTTATCTGCATCTTTAACATGAAAATGTATAATTATGCTAATTTATATTCTGGATAAATAGGACCAAGTTTTTATAGCGCCAATTTTAAAATCATGAAGTTGATGAGCTCCACTAAAGCAGAGGGGGGATGTGCCTCAATTATTTACCAGGAGATCCTTAGACGAAGGGGGGTGGGGGGATGGGAAAGAACCCTGTGTGAATGGAAGAAAGAAAAAAAGATAGATTTATCTTTTCCTCTAGTGATGGTTTCCTCCAGTTTTGTCAAGGTTTAGCTTTGAGCCTACTGGGGTTTATATAAAAATCAGTCTCTGATTCTGCCTACAATTCTCAACTTCAAAGTTGAAATTCTTGAAGCATTTTGACCTAAATCAAATGTTCACTTGTGTTTCTATAGACCTTCATTGTGTCCTATGTGTGAAATAACAGCTTTGGTTGAAGCAGCTGTTTAAAGCAAAAAGCCAGCATCTGTGTGCCAGGAGGAGCAAGGAGGTGGGAACTACAAAAGGAGGCCAACTCTGGAGGAGAATGCCTTCCCTTCTTTTTCGCTCCTTTTCTTCTTAGGCTGTTTGAGAGGATGGTGTGACGCAGCTGAACCCACACGTCAGCCTGGTTTTATCTCAGCCCTCTAAGAGGCTCAGCTCACAGGGACCAGCATTCAGCCTCGCGCTGCAGCATCACAAATTGTGAGACAGGATATCCACGGGGAAGGATAGCATTGCGTGCTGAAACATGTGAAGGGATGGAGCAAAAGACGTTGAATTAAAATTCAGCGTTAATTTAAACATTTCAATGTTTGTGTGTCAATTCATGTATATGAGGTTTATACAACTGACAAAATACTGATAATAGACTCTTTGTTTTTGTCGTTTTTGTGCATATGCAAGGGAACAAATTCTGTTATGCCCCAAGATTTCAGTTGTCTGTTTTTATCACCTCCCCACCCTGATTGCAAACACATTGGCAAGATGGAAGCTGTACTTGGAAGTGAGGGGAGATAAATTTACATACAAGATTCACACAGTATGCAAAACAAAAGGAAAAATCTAAGTAAGTGCTTGTCTGTGTTAGACCACCAATGCACAGACTATAATTAGATTCATTCATGTATGAGGACTGTCGCTGTGAGAGGTCTGAATTCATTTCAGGTTGTTTGCATATCTTGCAGCTGATTCAAAGAAGCAGCCGTTGCTCTGAGCAAACATCAGTTATTCCTCAGATATTTGTTGAATGAAAATTCCACAATTTTTTCAGCCTTTTAGGAAAATAAATATATTTTGGAAAACATTGAAAAACTGAGACTTGGACAATAAGGACACAGGAAGCTTGGAAGGACAGAGTACTTGAAACTTTACCTTTCAAATCCACACCATCCTTTAAATAGAGGCACCTATTGCTGCAATTAAGCGGAAAATTCTAAATAACATCCTCAGGTACTGTGTCATGTGAATGTCAAATAGCAAACATCAATTGACAACTTTAGTTCTAGAAGTAATGGCTCATTTCTGTTAGCATCTAACTGTGCTAGATGGAAAAGGCTGACTTGTCCATGAACAATACTAAACTTATCTTAAATGAGACTCAATAAAAGAGCTACTATTTACTAATTGATAAAGCATGGCACAGTGGTAGATCTTCCCAGAAGAAGATAAAGGTTATAACATAAACAAACATTTGAATAAGGCTCATGTGCAATACTTTAAAGGGCTCATATTATGCAAAATTAACATTACAAATATTACACAACAGTCATGTGTCCTGAGGCCTGTGTATGAGAATCACAAATGAAAAAAAAAAATGAAAAAATTGAATCTCTCTCACAACCTTTCTCCATCTCTTAGCTAATCTTTGCTCAAAATGGTCT